TAGGACCGCTTTGCATCCGCGCGATACCATCTCCTCTGTCGCGTTCGTGAACGCGAAATACCGGCAACTGTCTCGTTCGTCCGTCTCCGACATCGTGTCATAAAATCGATCGTCAGGACGTCTCTATTTTACGTCGATGAGATTACGTCGCGAGAAACATAAAATGTTTTAAGTATTCTGTAGACCCTAGATCACGCTAAGTATAATAAGAATCCTGATTCTCTCGAAGTGAAAACTGCATTACTGCATTCCGCGACATGACTTACAGTGACACGAGTGGTTAGCTGCTGTGCTGCTTCACAATAATAGGTCGTTGTGTTCACGTAAATATATTTTTTATTCGTGAAATGTAAAATAGTTTTGAATTCTCGAAGCTATTTTTATTTGTAAATTATTTTTATCGTGGAAAAAATAAGAGTGCTCTCGTGTCTAAATTATCACCTCGCTGGGGATTCACATAATCTTGCATCATTCATACAGGAGAAAGAAAATATATCACGAGAGCAAAAATTTGCCAGTATTTTGATTTTCTTCCGGTTAAAATTCATAAACCTGAGTCTAACAAATTCCATGTGAATTCTAATTCTCAACCACTCCCAGTCAATCCTGATCTCGGCTCTCGGATAATGTCATAAACTTTCACTTTCCGGGCACAGTGTCGCGTTTAATACACGAAAATGCAGGCCGTTCTCGACGATATACTCCGTGTATCCTCGATATAACAGGGAGGCAAGTAGTAAGAGCGACGCCGTTCCGCCACCCTGCATCTGCCTCGTAGGATTTAATCACGATGGTTACTCTGTCCCGACCGAAACCAATTATTGCGCAGACGTATCCGCGTACATACACACGAGGCATCCAGTTATTCGAATCAGACATGTATATATGTGCCTATCCGCATCATAGAAATCCGCTTCTGTGAATATCCGTGTGAAAGCAATCGCCGCGCGCAAACAATATGAACGTGGGGCATATTTCCGACTTATTCTCCACTCATTTTAATATATTTCTCAATATATGCAAATAAATAATTGAACCATGCAAATAAATAATTGGACGCGCACGTCTCGCGCGATATTTCAATTATCTATTTATACATATTCAAAAATTACAAATGATGGATGGTAACTTTAATTCGTTTTACGTCTAGATTAATATATAAATTGAATTAGAAATATTTTGTAACATAGTTTTTTTTTCTCAAGTTTCTCCTATAATTATGTTCTTTTAATTAAACTGTGTTATCCTTATTGATATACATATAAACGTGGGAATAATGATACACAACTTCCAGGCGCAAATTTCTAACTTCTATCAGATGTCTGAAACTTTATGGAGCAGAATAAACTTCTGGCATGCACGCGCACATCTTTCGGAAAATGAATTAAATTAGTTAATAATCTACCATGATGTATTCGCAAATATTTGTAATTTCTGTCTTTTAATCTCGGATGCTCAATTAAAATTCATTGAAAAGTTAAAGATAACGAAAAATAACTTCCCACATCAAATCATCGCGCGTTTTTCGATACAAAAGTGTTATAATAATATTGATTAATATACATCTATTTATTATTAGTTGCTGATAATTCAAGAATTAAAGTTATTAAATTTTGGACTAATAATTTTTCAGCGAATTCTTTCCAAAAATTGTCAAATGTTTCCCGACAAGATTATCCAGCGACGATCGCTTAATAACTGAAGTCTATAGGCTTAGGATTCGATAGTTTCCATATACAAAAAGATCTGTCCCTCAGAAGAAAGGCCAAACGACCTAGAACAGATCTAGTTGCCGACGCGGATGCATGTCAAAGAAGATAGCGGGGGAGGGTCGGAGAAGATGGAGACGACCGGAGGGGGAATGAAGGAGACCGAAGAAGAGGAGGAAACGGGGGCGCGAGGGGACGATAGCGTCGCCATTCTCGGGGAGCTATTATTGATTGTTGTTGATAATTAGCTGGTACAGGCGCGCGTCAATCACCAGCTAAGGCGAGGTTATTAGGCTGTTGGTTAGCGCCAGGCGAAGCCTCTCGCGAGGAAGCTATACCCCGGGATACGTAGCGATTCTGGCGCGCGCGCGCGCGCGCGTGTGTGTGAGTGCTGTATATCTGTGTGTATGTATATATGTTACGTGCGTGATTGTGGATGCGTGCCGTGCTAGCAGCTGCGCACGCTCGCGCAAGTACGCGCGGTACGTCGCCATTGAGCCACCTGATTACCCCTCCACAATTCGATCTAATGCGCTGTGCTGCGACGCGAGAGAAGGTTAATTATGCAGTTAATGAGAGCACCTAAATATATGTATGTACGCGCGTACATATATCACACGCTGGCCAAAAGAGAAACTTGACGATCGCTACGGCGGCAGAACTGATCGGGATGAAGTTAGGACTTACGGCGGGAGTGAAAGGAGAGAAGGGAGGGTACGATGGAAAATACCTATTTGCTCTCGCGGTCCCGCAGGATCAATCTCTTCGTCGGTGGCGCTGTTCGGTTTCTTGGACGATATTACACTCGGGGACGGGAATAATGCGAGGTTTGATCGGGCGTTCGTCGACGAGTAACCGCAGCACCCGGGATGGATGTAATTTGCAGGGAAAATGATCGCGTAATAGTTCACCCAGTGAACGACGCGTTGTGCAGTATGTATAGTTATATTAATCTTAGCAGGACCGAAAAAGGAGCCTGCGAAACATTAAATTAAAATTTACTTGTGCTTTTCAGCCAATTGCTCGCCTTTCGTTATAAAATTTATATTTTTACGTACTACTTATATAAATTTTTAAATGCGTAGATAATATTTAAATTTCTTAAATCAAACAAACGTATTTCTATTGACTAATGGTTTTGTGAAAACATGTTTGTTGCAATATGTCGATATTAAAATTGATTTAACAATTTAGCACATGAAGAAATTGTGAAGAAGTACAGTCTTCCGTTCGATATTACTTCGAAAATGAAAATAATGCGAATTTTGATTGGGCGCGTTCGACCGCAAGTAATCATCGGCCTCCTGAAAGGTGTAATTTACAAGGAAGAGAGTGTAATGGTTTGATGGAAGAGCCGCGTGTTGACGCACCTTAAGCTCTCTCATAACGACGCAAAGTGCTCGAAAATTACCCAGTGATTACTCACTTAATGATTTAATCCGCGAAATTGTACGGTTTGGCGACCATCGCGTACTTTACGAGCAAATTGTAATTTATACGAAAGTTGATAAAAGTGTGTGATAACATACAGTAGTGGAGTTTTTTCCTCGGAGCGACAGACTTTAGATACAACAAATTATAGTCGGTCGGACAACTCCGCGCTTAAATCGATTAGACTTCTTATCGAAATATTGAGCACGTATACCGTTTCCAATAAATACGGCGGAATGCTGCCCAGACTAACACTAAATAATCCACATTAATATTCTTTTTATGACATTTGCTTTCAAATCTTTCGAAAAAAATTCCTAGAAAATATTAAAACATTAATATTTTTAAAGCAATTGCTTAAAAAAATCTTGCAATTAAGTTTTTATGATATAATAAAAATAAATATAAATTTTGAAATGTATTATAAGCTACTGCATGCTATTATCACACACACATTTCAGAAGAAATTTTTATTTTCCAAATTCTCGGTATAGAAAACATACTGCCGTCGCTTTTCATTGTATGTCTTTAACAGCATTACAATTAAGTAACACGCACATCTGACACGGCAAATTATAGTCGGTCGGACAATTCCACGCTTAAATCGATTAGACTTCTTATCGAAATATTGATCACGCATATTGTTTTCAACAAATGCGGCGGAATGCTGTCGCGGATGTTATTTGCAATGAAAATAATCGCGTGATCGTTCGGCAGCATAAGTAAATCTCTGCTGTTCTCATTACGTTGCTCCTTTCATTAAGGACGATAACAACATGGCTATGTGGCCGTCGCTTTAATAAAGCGTCGGATAAGCGGCGACGAAACGATAGTACCGAGTTACCAATGCAGTCTGCCGGCCGCGTATCACCCTCCTACGGAAAGGTGCGTGTCTGCGCACATTTACAGCATTATTCTTGTTTATCTTGCGAACGATTAGACAATTCCTTCAGGACAATTCCGATATTGAGCGCTTAGTAATGAGGACATTTCCGAAGTGACTTATAATTTAATACGGAGAGAAAATATGCTATGCACAATTCACATTTTGCTTGCGCTTATTATTTACAATTGTAAAAATATAATACACATTAATATATATATATATTTTCGTTACAATTATAAAATTTTATTGTGGTTTACAAATGTGCCATCTTTAATATTATTTGTAACCAAAGAACTTTGTCTCCTGATTTATTTTCCGAAATTATAGAACTTACAGAAACTTGCGAAATATTATAGAACTTGAAGAAACGATAGCAACCGAATTCATTTGCTTCCTCTAACAAAACTACATGGAAAGAATATTGATAAAATTCTGTAATAGCGCTCCAGCAGATAAAACCGCTCTAACCGCTGATTCGTATCTTTGCAAGCTCAGTTTGAGATCACCACAGAGGGAAATATGACAATCAATATTTTATGTACACTCTCGTTTATCAAAAAAGATAATACATCCATCGAACCATGACCATCGCATCGAGCGCCGCATACATTAAACGTCGAATACTTTAATTAATTCTCGTTGTCTCTTTTACACTCAACGAAGCGTAGCGTGTTATATTTCGTGCTTGCTCGGTCACGAATCCGAAGCGAAAAAAAAAATCCAGGCGCGAACGACGTTTTAATGCCCGATGAAGTCACTCACACTCGTGTGCACGTTCCACACGTATGCGCGTACGCATATGGGCATGCAATTTCACACGCCACGCGTTGCAGCTCTTCTAATAGCTACTATTATGCGCGCATAATGGGGGTAATAGCTGCGACTCCGGATAAATCGATCACCATTACCGCTCCTATTACCCGTAACAACCGTTTCCGAGGAGACCTGACCACTCTCTCTGTCGTGGCTCCCAGGTGAGAACAGCTGCAACTCCACCGGCGGCGGCAGCGACGAGGAACTCGGCGCGGGCTGCGGGGACGACATAAACGGCAACGGGGGCAAGAAGAAGCATCGTCGTAACCGGACGACCTTCACGACCTACCAGCTGCACGAGCTCGAGAGGGCGTTCGAAAAGTCTCACTACCCGGACGTCTACTCCAGGGAAGAGCTTGCCATGAAGGTCAATCTCCCGGAAGTTCGTGTTCAGGTGAGTCATTTACCAAACGAATTAGCGCGAGGGAAGTATCGGTTCTTCCGCGCGATTTCTAGCTTATATATTCAAGAATAGAATAAGCTATTTTGAAGTTGAAACAATGTGGTTGACTTTAGATTCTGTGAAAGTGGAAAATACCTTTCATTGCAGAGACTTGTAAAAATTAATTGTTCTTTTAAAGTATGCTAAAGGGTAAAATATTATTCTTATTATAAAATGGAAAAAAAATTTAATTTTTTTATATCCATGGATGTTTAATTTTATAAATTTCAACTACTTTAAACCTTTTTAAATTTCTTAACTCACTTTAAAACATTAATGAATATTTGATCATTTTTTGTATAATCTCTATTGTTAACAAAATGCAATAATAAGTCTACAAAACAAAAAGACTGGTCTGATAACGTCATAATAATAAACATTTTTTATGTATTTCGATATCAAAATAAAATAAAATGAATATCAAGATGTTGAAAAAATTATTAGATTCAAGTACTTAATAAGTAATTTTATGTAACATACATTGTTACGAGAGTAAAAGAAAAACTTTTTCTTGTATTTAGTTGCAAGCAGGGTAATTTTGCGCAAATGCGCAGCACGAACAACTGATTTATTCTTCCTCGGCCGAAATTTGACGGATACGAATGTCGTGTTCGGCGAACCGACCGGGGTTAACGCTGGCGTTTCCGTGCAAACAATCGGAACGGCAATCGCTGCCTGGCGCGCTGGGCCGACGTATTAGACTAAATTAAATTAATTATGTGCGTGACAGCGATAAAAGCACGCAGTCGCGTGCGACGACGCATCGATTAGGCTCCCGGGGGCACGCTTGCCGAGCGGCATGTATATGTCGAGGCCAGTGGCGCAGCTACCTGGTTCCGATGATGGCTCAGAACTATAATCTAGAAGGCCCGTAACCGCATCGAACTCTTCGTTTAATTATATTTATACTTTTTTTTTATACCAATTTCATGAAAGAGAAAAAAAGAGAGAAAGAACATTAAATATTCTTAAGTCGAGAAAGAAAGTAAAGCTTAAAAAAAACTATAGAAAGAGTTTTTATATAAATAATTAAATAATATATAAAATAAAATATGAAAGAAGATCAAATATTTTCAAGTGATCAATATACCTATAGATTTACGAATCGCAATGGAAAATTGATCTCAGTAATGTTAGCTTCCCAAATAAATCTGATTTCTACTCAATAAAAGAAGATGAAAGTGCACACGTGCAGAAAACGTAAGAAAGAGGCCTGTAAGAAAATCTCAATCCTGGCCTCATCACCACCGCCACTTTGTTACGCTATTGGGCGGGGCTCTCGGCAACACGGTTGAGATAATAACCCAACCGGCGACTTTACGAGCACCTGCTTTTTTTTCCACCGTCTCGAACGCAGAATTGATTTTACTCGGACGCTCGCCTTAAGTTTCCATTGCCGCGAAGGGTTCTCGCCTGCCGGCGATAGTCAAGATTACGCGTCGATTGCAATTAGGGCTTTATCGAGGTGATCATACTAATTCGTAGTGTCGTGGGCATTCGGCTCGTTAGGGTTGCCATTAAACACGCAATGCGAGAAACGTAGGAATTACCTTCGCGCCTTAAGTGGATTATACGGATCTTAAAAAAGTAAGCGAAGATTTAGAACCAGGCGAAGCACGAATCGTTTGTCTATTAGAAAGCTGAAACTTTCATCGCGTCGGAATTAACAAGTAGTTTATATCGCAAGATAAGCACATCGTTAGTAATAAAGTTGCTGTATAATTTACTCCTTTTCTCGCTGCTTCAAGTTAATGATAGATAAGTATTTAGAAGTATAAGCTAATTACAAAAAAAGCTAAGCAGATGACTAACGGTTTTGTGAAGGTATATTATAAGAAAATGATTTTCTAAGCTACTTTTCTTCTAAAATGCAAGTAATAGGACGTAATTACTTATGAGATCAAGAGAGGAAATTGATAAGTAAATTTGATCCGTTCTGATGAATAAAGCCTTATATATTATTTGAAAAAGACTTTTCTAATAATAAGGTATATCCAAAGAAATGAGAAAGCGTATAATATGCGTTATTAAGAAAAAAAAAACAAAGTTAATAATGAAATAATTTCGTTGATAATGTAACGATATTTTTCGATTCTAAAGATAGTAAAATTAATTACAATTATCGTAATAATAGCATTTTACTCCGGAAATATTCAATATTCAACTGAAGAATCTGTGATCTTCTTAAATAAAGACTATATAACATAATAATCATACTGAGTGGTGCACTTTGCGTATGAATGATTTAATTTTACACAAAGAAAACTTTAGGAAACTTCAGAAGAACAATGTTTTTCGCTTGCTTTGCTATATAGACTACAAACTTTGAGAATGTATTCGCCTAGTCAGCGTCAAGGAAATTTGGAAAGAATTTTTTAAGCGAATATGGTAGTTCGTGCTCTGGAATAAAGTACGGACGTGCGGCGCGGACGAGGCGTCGCGACGACGTGGACGGCAGAGGCGTCGTTCCCCGGCAGCGAACTCGCAATTAAAAATTTAAATTGCGTTTAAAACCCGCCAGGCTGCCGACGTGCTCTCTCCGTCTTCCGTTTTCCGTCTTCGTCGCCGTCATTTCTTTCTCCCGCGCGAAACACTTTACCCTATTTTTTTTCTTTCTCTTTTTTTATTTCGAACGAGTGGTCCGCGCGACTTGTTCTCGTTTATTTTCACCCCTCCTCCCACCCGTCTCTCGCTAACCGTGGCACCGTACCGTCTCGAGCCGCTCACCGAGGTATACCTAATCGCTTAAGCTTATTACCAGAGCGGACAAGGCGGTTGTGGAATCAGCTTGGCTCGCGATGCAGCGAGTGGGTTTATTCGCCCGCTCGCTTGCTCGCGGCGAGCCGCGCGCCGCGCCGTTCGGTTTCATCATTTTTAATTGATAGCGCACGCCAATCCCGTCTGTCGGATTTATTAGGCCGCTCGACGAGATGGTTTCGAAGGGACGGATGGGCAGGGGTAGAACACAAGGGCAGGAGGGGAAAGAGGGCTTTTATTGGGCGTGGCGGAACGCGGACGGGATTCCGTCGGCGGTCGCTGCGGTCTGATTGTCATCGGAAAAGCGCCGCGCGTTTTCCAGCTTTTCCCGGCGCATACATGTGCGCGAACTCGTCGCGCGTAAGTTAACGCTTTCACGATCGAGACGATTATCGTCGCTTATGGGATACGCACAATTGCTTTACGCGCCGCATTATTAAACTTCAAACGATGTATAATACGCGACAGAATTCGAGATAAAAACCTTTTTATCTCGATTATATTTTATATAATAATAGAGAATGAAGAATAGGTACATCAAGATCATTTATATGCATCTTACATGTACACAATTTGTGATTTTCGAAATATGTATTACATTACATAACACGTAAAATTATAATTAGAATTCTGTTGTAAATTATAGCTCGTTTAAAAGTTTAGAAAATAAGCTTTGAAGTTGGATTGCACCGACAATCTAGATTTTTTTAGATTGTTGTGTATTATTATAGTCAGAAAAAAAATTAGTTAACTTGCATCAGTGCTATTCTGCATTCGCGCAATCGATTCTAACTTGTTTATTTGTTTGTAATACATGTGCTCATAATCAAACTTTAATAACAATTATTGTTATATGTTTTTGCTGCGACTGTTATCAAACATTTTTCAAAATGGGATCTGCTTTTATTTCAATTTGGCGTGGTGGAACAAGAACGGCGATTTTAAAAGAATGTAACACGCACGGTTTTAAACACCTACTGTTTGTTATTCGTTAAAAGTACATTATTTTATACGTTGTGACAAAAATATTTCGCCCGAATCAATTAATGGCCAAATGGTTTAGCTTTAAATCGCGCGTAATGTTTGTTTGCGTACTAAATCGAAAAATAGATTGCAGAAAATGTAAAAGGGAATAAAAGCTCGGGAATCATACGGGAAGCCGCATCTTTTCAAAGAGATAAATGGAATTGGGTAATGCAACTTCACTCGGTTAGATTTACGAGCGAGCTCGCTCGTAAATTACTAACCGTTTTGTAGCTTCGATTCTTCGACTGCCGATGCCCGACCTCGGCCTCGGCAAATCCTATGTCTCTGTAGCTTCATGGACATTCCTATTTCTTTTCCACCTGTATATCCTAGCAATAAAATTTTTATTCGGGAATCCCCGCGCTCTCTATGCTGTACATCATGAGATCGTTTATCATGGAACATTTCCCGCAAAGAAATTACGTAAGTTTTGCGGAACAAAATCCGACCGTCATCCACGATATTCTCGACAACTGCTCTATGATATACGTCAAATATCTAGAACGAAATAAAATAATAATGCAGATTTGTGCAAATTGACCACCAACCTTTTGACTTATTGATTCAAACGTGACGTTATTTTTTGAAACTGTTATTACACTAAGTAAATGGAAAAAAATAAAGAAACCTAAATAATATATTCAGTATTTCACGTATTTTCTTCTCTATTGACACATTCATAATGACATGTTGGGATGGACAATCATCTTTTAATACCTGATATACCCGACGCACACTTCGTTCGATGATAATCTAATTTTTACATTGCACTAAAAGTCATTTCCGTTTCGAGTCTCGCTTTTTATCGGTTTTCGTGTGCCAAAAAGCCGGCGATCTATTATATTATTATAGACCCATTGTCGGAGGGCGAACGCGCGCGCATTACTCGCTTGTCACGCGATCGCGAGAAAGCCACGTCGAAAAAAATAAACGATAGACCGACTAATTCGACGATTTGCCGGGCGACTTGGCCGAAATCGATACCAGCCGGAGCGTGTGTTTCGGTAGAAACACTTACCGGAATTAACCCCGGCAGGAAACGCACCTGCAAACCTTTTAAAAGTTTGTCACGTAACACTACGTCATACTAGACACACACACACACACACACACACACACATTTTAAGGTCATTAAGACCTTGACCACAACGAAACCCATTAAATCGTCT